TTATATGCTGTAGTAATTAGTTCAACACATAAACAAGGAATGTCTCCTTCAACTGTTTACAAATTTCATCGAATAGCTGAAATGATGAAATAACTACCTCATCACTGTTCTTTCTCTTCCCAAATAAACTATTATCTATTTCAATGGTCAAAGTTCTGGTCTATCAATTTCTTACCAGCCATGAATTTTCCAAGATATACTTCTTGAAGGCAATGATTTCAGTTGATTCGAATTTCTAATATATCAAGTTCTTTGGCTACAGTATAAAGATGCTTCATCTTTGCACTACAAATACATAAATCAGAATATTTCAGCGTAGGAAATTCAACTTTCCTTAGATCGGTTATTAGTTTTCAGTCTAACACTTTGTTGCTAGTTGTTAAAATTGCATTTCTATAGTAAATTTTTAATTGCATGAGAACTGGAATCCTTGAAATTGTTTGGCAAAGTATTACATGCATGGAAATGATGGATTGTTTCTGCTTCCCTTCTCAGCAAATTTAGCAAATACAAAGCAAGAAATATTAATACAAGATGAAGAAGTGCTTCCAGCGAATATTTTGTGGGAAAAGGATTGTATAAAAGATGAATTTTTGCTCAAACTAGTTTAAAGTTAACATTAAAAAAATAATACAAAATCTGATGTGTACACCACGAATTCCTTGCACAGAATATTAAATTATACACATTTTTTCATGCATTTAATTTCAACTAGTTTCCTTGAATTTCATTAGAGATATATTTCTCATTCAATTAATTCAGTTCTCACTTCGCGCCAAGGCAAAAATACATAAAAACTCAAAATAGCTTCATTAAAAATAGAAAGATACAGAATAACATAAAACACCAAATGTAGTTAAAACAATTTAAAATACAGTTTCTATGCAAAAACAAGCAATTCAGCCAGCAGGCAAGGCAGATTTTTTGGAGCATAAAACTAAAAGTTTTCTTTTGGTGCCACTCGGCAAAAAGACACTGAAGGTGCAGAAAGACTTCACTATTTTGCCAAGTTTCAAATGTAAACAAATATGGCTGCTATGGTAAAAAAAATAAGGCTTAGCTGCACTTAAATAACTTTTAAATTGTTGATAATTCTACAACTATTTCATGCAGATTAACTAAAGGCATAAAAACCTTAACCAGAAGATAATAACATAATTCAAACTTTTTAAACCAAAAAATACACAATTTACCAACACATAAGAATAAAATAACTGAGCTCACATGAGTCAAATAACAGGGTGGATATATATATATATATATACTATATACATTTATATACCTTTGGTGTGGTCAACTGCAACCAAATAGGAGAAGTGCAATCGTTTTTTTAGTTATGCGAGATACATACGTATGTACAGACGCAACGAAAAATCTGAATCCATTTTAAATAAGTTTTTTTATTTGTTTGGTGAAAAAGAGTCTTTATTCTGTTCTTACGTAAAGATGTCATGCAAAAACATCGTTAAATTGCATTCGATAACGGTCAGGTCAAAATGGATATTTTTGTTGAAATATGATCTCTGGAATTTTTTGTAATTACAATACTTCCTTTACTTCATACAAGGAAGTAAATAGGAAATCACCATCTTCCTCCAAGAAAACAGGAATATTAACTTCCCCAAAAAAGAACACAACTTGCTAGAAGAATCAGAAGTGTTAGAAAGCAGAGTCACAGATGAGATTATTGGCAGTGTATGTGTATTGTATACCTAATGATTTTAGCATAATTATGAATTATTAGGAACGAACATACACACATGCACACCCATGCTAATTTTCCTAGACATTACTGTGATGCATGTAGAGATAGCTCCAAGCATATGAAATATCAAAACAAGGCTGAAAATTGCTGCACGGGGCAACAATTTTGTCAAGGCGTCAGCCAAATTATTCTTAGAGAAAATTAAATAAGAGCATAATTCACTTTGAATTACTAGTATTGTTGTAAATATCTGTAAATATTCAAATTCTTTATGCTGCATTGTTGTCTTACTTAGTTGTTTTGTATTTGCTGCTACACGTATATTTTTTCATCAATGTTTGTTTCTGTTGAATGTGAAATTGTTGATTTTCTTGTTTTGAGAGAAGCAACATTCAAATGTAAAAATAACTAGAATGAAATATGAGGTAGCTCCTCATGAGCTTTGGTGAATAACTTTTCTTGACATTTCTAGAGGCTTGTACTTATATCAGAGCCATGCCTTATAAGAGCCAGATTTATATATAAGTTACACAAGCTAAAGGCCCCTAATTTCTAGAGAGCTGCCTCAAAATTAAAATATAGTATAAATAGTATTAAAATACAGGGTGTTTACAAAGTCCTAGACCCATTTTGATGTTTAATAAGTCATAAAATAATAAAGATAGATTAAATTAATAACATAAATGGTTAGATAGAATCAAAAAGTTTCATGACCCTTGTCAATGAACTTCCACGTGTGCCCCCTTCGTCGCACGGAGAATATCAAGTCGATATTCAATTTCACGCCAGGTACCGGCAAGCATGTCGGCATCCATAGAGGCTATTGCGGTTGTAATTCTGGCTTTTAGGTCATCAATGTTTGACACTCTCCTCCTGTTGTCTACTTCTAAACATTGTCCTTTACAAATCCCCAAAGGAAAAAGTCCAGCGGCATTATATCAGGTGATTTGGGTTGCCAAGGAATTAGACCTCCTCACCCAATCCATCTTCCTGTAAAATGGTCATTCAAAGAACTACGAACAATGGTACCCCAATGAGGTGGTGCACCATCTTGTTGCAAAAAGACATGTGGCTGAAGCTCTTCTAGTTGTGGAAATACGAAGTTTTCCAACATGTCTAAGTATACGACTCATGAGACCGTCTTTTCTGTAAAAAAGAAAGGCCCAATGATTCGATGTGCAATTAATCCACACCACACATTAACCTTTGGGGAATCCCTTTGTGCCTAACGGTATTCATGGGGATTTTCAGATCCCCATATGCACACATTATGAAGATTAACAATGCCAGAAAAATGAAAGGATGCTTCGCCGGAGAACATTATGTGCTTCAGAAATTCAGCATCATCTTCTATCCTCCTTAGCATATCTGTTGCAAAGGCCATCCTCCTAGGCCTATCATCCGGTTCCAAAACGTCAATAATTTGAACTTTTGCATGCAATCTTAATTTTTTCTTAATAACCTTGTACACCGTCGAAATTGGTATAACAAATTCTCTTGCCACTGATCTCAAAGATCTTCTAGGATTGTGTAAAAATGTCTCTCTGACACGCTCAATATCAAAATCACTTGTGCAGGGACGTCCGGAACATTTCTTTTCTGTGATACTTCCAGTTTCTAGAAAATTCTTTTTCCACCGCAAGATGCTGCTTTTGGATGGAGGATCTTTTTGGTAAATTCTTCTGCAATTTCTCCGTGTTTGCATTATGGATTTCGTTTCTATGAACCACCATAAAATCTGTGCTCTCTCTAGTGGTGTATGCATTCTCCTTAATATCCAGTCGAATAAAATATCACATACAAAAGTACTAGAACAAACACATCAAAAGTAAACATAACATTGCAATAGTTGCCAAAAACAAAAGAGAGAAAAATGCAATTAATAAGCAGGCGATATTTAGAAAAGTACAGATATTTAGACCGGAAAATGAAATTGTCAGAAATTAACCACACACGCAGACAATATTTACAAAAGTAAAGATATTCAAACCTGAAAAGCAAAATATATAAGTTATTCCATCAATAAATGCCATAAGTTTGTTTATATCTTCATTATTTTATGAGTTATTAAACATCAAAATGGGTCCATGACTTTATAAACACCCTGTATATTATAACGGACTTATAAAGGGTCCATATCTCAAATAGCTTAGGGCCTTCTCAAGACTAAATCTGGCTCTGTGTCTTACATAAATACAACTAAGAGAGCTCCAATGAGGTATTGTCAGTTTGATTTTCGAACAAGTACTTGTTATTCATTTCTGAGATATAGCGTTTAGCTGAATTATGAATTTACTCTGTGATTTTGGAAACTGCTGAAATTTCTTCTGTACAGAAGAGGAATTGTTTATATCCATGTTTAGATTAAGCTGTTTCAAGTTATTTACTGTACTGTTTGTTAATAGTTTTTATAATAAACTGTTAATTTCTTCATATTATTCAGAGCAATATCATTGAACCAATAGTCCACAACAATATGCTTAATTTGTATGGGATGCTAACTGTAGTGACCACCTAAAACTTTGAAAATGCCAGAATCAGATTTGGTTGTAAAATTACATCACAATGAAAAAATGTCAGCTGCCATGGCATAAATAGTACAAAAGTACTACAAATTATCCCCCTTGATATTTATATTAAAGAAAATGGGGTATTAAAATTAAACTAGGCTACATAATTAAACTGATTATTTTTTTCACCAATATGGACTATTTTCTACAAAAATAAGTACCATTAATTGAAAAATGATTCCATTATCATTATTATTATTGTTTTAAATCATCAATATTTACTTATATAATATTAAAACTATATTACATTAATCTATTAATGTAATATAGTTTTAATATTATATAGAAACTATATTACATTAATTAATATCTTTGCTAATATAATATTAAAACTAAAGATATTAATTAATGCAAAGATATTAATTAATGTAATATAGTTTCTATATTACATTAATTTAAGTAAACAAATTTTATTTCACATTGCTTTATTTATTGCAAAAATACATTGATAAATAGTATCATAACATTTAGATTTACAAATTGAATTATATATTTAAGTGTTATAATACTATTTAATTATAAATGTCACTTTTATAAAATGTCTTGCCAACACTAATGCATACAGAAATAGCTGAAAATGACAAGTGGCATGGAAAGTGCATACAAACAAGCTCATTTACCCAGTCAATAAAACATGATATATGATCAAGTATCCCATAAAACAATGGATTTATATTATCTATTGCATTATGAAGTACACATAATAAATTTCTAAAAATTATTACCTGTTTATATCTTGCGATAAACAATATGATGCCACCTCGGAAAGCAATGTGGGCTGTGAAATTAAGAGCTTCTCTCAAAAGTTCAGCTGTCTGATCCAGATCAAAGATAAGAGTTCCTAAACGGGATCCTAATATAAATTGCTTCATATGATCATTGAGAGTGCCCATTGTATGGCCATAATGAACGCGAGCATTAAATAAATCCTTCACAGTAAATAAATTATGAACTTCAAAGAAATCTGGATAATTTAAAGGATCTGGCATTTCTGTTTTAGTATGGTCCACATCTAGAGAAATAAATAATGATAGCATATAAAAATACAGTCCAATATGAGCTAAAAAAAAAAAAAAAACGTATATTAGTATAAAATTACAAAACATATTTTTTTTAAATGAAACACATATATGAAAGATGATTTCATTAAAGATTTTAATTTCACTCACATATTTAAATAATAAAAAAGAAACTTAAAATTGTTTAGTAGCAAATGCAAGTATTAATTCTCATTTCATTAAGACAGATATAATTCAAATATATAAAGTGAAATTAATAATTATTTACAAAAAATTATATTACTTTTGTTTATTTTTATAATATATTTTTATGACTGCCTGATTCAAGACTACATACACTACCATCTTTAAAAAAAAGAAAGAAAGAAAGGATAAGAACTTCTCAAATATATGACCCCATAGGGGTATATCCACTCAACCAATCAGAATTTAAGATATTATTATTTCAATATATGGGTAAAAGTATATGTTAGGGTACCCCTTGCAGAAACTTGGCGATTTTGGCGGTACATGAATACCGAGTTTATGCAATTCTTTGACTTGCAAAAATCGCTGCTACACAAAGCCAAAATAAAAAGACAAAGAATTGCACAAACTCAGTATCCACGTACACATCGACCTATTTTCACTTAAAAAAAAATCAGAGAATTTCACAAACTAGACTTTGCGCACTCCCTTGACTTTATCCATGTACACATCGAACTATATTTACCTAAAAAGTCAAAGCAGCAACAAACAAAAACATATATAATATAAATGAACTACATTTTACATCAAACAATGAAATAACATAAAAAAGGAAATTCATCTTAGCACTACACAAAGGAAATATCCACTTATTTATGAATTTACGTGCCTTCAGTCAAACACAATTCCTTAACAGCATCCAAACATTTCCTAAAATTATCTGAACTAGAATCCGTATACTGGTGTCGCCACATTAATTCACAAAAATAAGAGTGAAAAATATCCTCTGTTTGACCATACGCATTTCCCTCCTCCAAACAGAACACTTAATAATGGCTACTAAGTAAACCCTCATTTACACACCAGTCAATTAATGCTTTTTTCCCTTTCGTTCCAAATCCTACAGAACCTTCAAATTAATCTTAAGACATTCAGTCAATTTACCGTGTAAACCACAAAATAACATTCTAATCCATCACACAAGCCCTTACCCAAAATCTGATACACACACTTTCCAAATTTTTCCCCATGATTCAAACTCACAGCAACCAATTACGTCATAATAGGGTTTCCATAGCATTCAACTACTCAGGTTGTCATAAATGAGACAACTTGGCGATAAATGAAACAACAATTTCGTGATAATACAAGGGGTACCCTAAAGTCAACTCTAACCCAATATATGTGCTCAAGATTGTGATGATTTAAAACCAGAGCTGTCCCAAATATAATTAAAATGAAAAAATCTCGAAATTTTTGAATGGCAACACCCACCTTTTTCCCAGGGCAAATTGATCAGTGCACTACAAAACCTTAAATGGCACTGGAACATTACACATATGTCAAAAATTGCTGGCATAAAACACTTGTAAAGAAGAGCACTGTGATGGGCCAATGACAACACAAGAATGAAGAAAGAGACGGGGAGGGGGAACTTTAATTGGAATTATAAGTTTCTAGCATGCCGACCTGCACAGATGATAACACACTGCATGCAGGAGATTGTTGATAACAATGAATAAGGGCTATGTGCAGGAGGAATATGTATAGTTTCACATTTTATGGCATCTTTCAATTCTGATAAATCTCACAGATCTGATGTGTACACTTTAGATTTCAGATAACCCCAGAACCAGAAATCCACTGAAGCGAAATGAAGGGATCGTGATGGTCATGAAACTGCAAAGTTATAGCAGATGACTTTAAAAATAGCACTTTAAAAATAAAGTGCTGTTGCAGCACTTGCTAAACACATGTGGCAATGTGTGAAGGAACACCATCTTGCCTCCACACAATGTGATTAATATTTCGCAGCTGTAATTCTCAAATTACGTAATTCTGTAACACTATTATATAACTAGCATTTATGGTGGAGTACATTTTCCTACTTGTGGAAGAGACCTCTTTGAAGACGTACAGTCTGAAAACAAATGCCACACCACACAGTCACTTTAGCTTCATGTAAAGGCACTGGTACCACATCGTGAGGATTTTCGTCAGCCCAGTGAATACAATTTTTGGAGTTTATGTTCCCAGTTAAAGAAAAATATTGTACTTTTCCATTTTGCTGGCGCAGGCGATAAAGTCGCCAATAATGGTACAACTGATGCTAAATGGAATATCCTCGCTGGTAACATTTTATGTCTTATTTGCAAAACAAGTCGCAGCCATTTCTTATCAGATAGATTGGATCTTTCAATACCGGCATACAATTGCATAGAATTTTTACCAGATAATACAATTTTATGCCCTAACATAACATAACATTAGTGGCACTTCCTTCTTATGAAAAGAAGGAAAAGAGTTTAGGCAATGTTGCCCATTGCTCTTCCGCCATTTGATCATTTAAATCAAAGGTTTTAAATGGTAACTCCCGTGAAAGGTAAATAATAAATAAATAGATAAGATCCCAAACTGACACCAAATATATAGTACAGTAAAAAGTCGTTAATTCGGACCTCAAAGCTAAAAACTTTCTGCACATGCGCCGCATTGACACATGCGCATAGGCGTTTACGCGTGCGCGCAAGACTTTTTACGACTGCGCATATGTGTGTGCACAAGTGCAGAATACGTTTTCGCGTGCGCGTTTTATGTATAACGGACGGTATAAGCTAAAATTATCTATTTACGTTAATGTTGATGATTGCATTGTTCGTTAATTTTCGAATTGGATCCGGCTTAATATTTTTTGCAGTCTGTAAGAGCAATACTATAAAAGTAAACTTGAACTTTCGATTATGTCAAATAGAATTTCCGATTTTGGAGCTCCCAAAGGATCGTACAAAACGAAAGTATGTTTCAATGTCCATCAAACAAAAAGTGGAATTGCTGCAAAAAATGAATAAAGACATGAAGAATGTGACACAGAGGTTAGTAAAAACGAAAAAATTTCGATTGACAAGTTAGTCGGTATTCTCGGCACAGCAATTAACGGGACTTGAACAGCGGAACTTTGTAACTGAACAAGAAATTATGTCTGTTGTTTATAGAATTAAAGAGAAAGTATTATCACATAAAACGAAGCAACTTAAACAACTTACATTGAAAGAAATGTTTAATAAAGTAAATAAATAAACATTAAACCTTTTTTTTTTTTTTTTTTTTTTTTTTTTTTTTTTTTTTGTAAATTTTGATACTCTTTAGATCATAATTGTTCTTTATTTCATAAATTACGGTTTCATATTTTTAATTTTAGAATTTCTACATGCCATCTTACGAGATTTAAACTGATGATCTATAATCCGGAATCGCCGATGTCCCGACGAGTCCGGATTAACGACTTTTGACTGTATCAGCAAAAGATCCCATCTCTAAATTCAGGGTGTTGGTTAAACGTGAAAAACTTCCCAATTGGATGAAGAGCCGATTCAATCCCTCCCAAACCACCAAACGCAAACTCTTGACTAAACAAGGGTGCAATGGCAAGCAAAAAAATAAATAAATAAATAAAAAATAAGTAAAAATAAATTAATTAAATAAGGAGGGCAGAAGTGCTTTCTCAAGCCAGATGGCCAGGTGGTTTATATAGATTTGATGTCTATTTCCAAATTATATTCCAAAACACAGCTATGAGAGAGAAATCCCTGCATAGTTTCTTTTACAAAAAAAAAAAAAAAAAAAACTCGTAGGGTGTCTCAATGCTTGTTTCTTGTGGTTTCAAATTCACCTTACCCGTAGGTGTTTAGCATACATCAGAAACCTTATTATGCCAGAGAGCCCTTTGTATAGAACGGTTTGATCAAAGCTAATATAGGGAAACCCAAGGAATTTGTTTCTAGGGTCAGAAAACACCGGAAATCGTCCCAGAAAGTAAAAAGTGTTTCCTCTTCTTCTCCACGAACTGGGCAGAGAGAAAATTCGACAAGACCACATTTGTGGAGATGCTTGGCCAGATAAGCATGTCCGGTAACAATTTGAATTTATCTGGCGAAAGTTAGTTCTATTGAGGTGTATGAGTTTACCTGATAAGTTAAGTGTACTGAGCACCAATTTAGAATGAGCACAGTCTGGTAGTTTAGACCATATATCATCATGTTTGTTCTTTATCCAGCTTCTTACTTCTTTTTTAACAGTTTGATATGAAACTGGGTAAAATGGTTCTGAGCCAGACATGGGTAGTAGCGAAGCATCTTTAGCTACTTTATCAGCTAGTTCATTTCCAGCAAAATCACAATGACCTGGGACCCAGACTAAACTAATAGTGTTATGGGCCTGAGCCAGAGAATTGAGATCTTGAGTACAGTTCAAAACACAGTTTTGTAACTTGACACGATTAGCCAGGGCAAGGATGGCTGATTGGCTGTATTCTTATCAACTGATGCTAAACGGAATATCTTCGCTGGTAACATTTTATGCCTTATTTGCAAAGCAAGTCGTAGCCATTTCTTAACAGAGAGATTGGTTCTTTCAATACTGGCATACAATTGCATAGAATTTTTACAAGATAATACAATTTTATGCCTTAAGGCCATTCATGGTATTTAAGTCAATTAGAATGCAATCACACCGCTCATCCGAAGTTGAAAATATAGAAAAGGCAAAGTTAAGGGTTAAATTCATCAATTCTAATGAGAATACATTAGTGAAGTAAAGCACTGCAGTTTTACATAATTTCTGAGTAAGTTTAGACTTGTATTCAAAATTAAGATTTAACTTGAAATTAACATAGATAATTACAGAGAGAATTAGATTTTTGTACTGTAGTTTACATTGGAGATCATCATTCGTTAAGTGGTGTTCGACCTGAAGGCCTTTACCACTTCATGTTTATCATTCCCCTAAGGACGTGTAAAAGTTCGTTAAATTCCATAAAATGGAAAAATTCTGTGCACTTATAACGGAGTTTATGTGAGATGAGATCACTTGCAGTCACGTGATATGAACTGGCAAATCAGCTTGTTGAACCATGAAAGCATAATAAATTCTTAAATTAATGTCTTTTTACAAATTTTTATTGTCTTTATTCACTTTTCACAAAATTTTAAACTACATTAAAATGTTTATGACTTCAAAATAAAAAATTCTTAGAACTAACATGTGTTAATATTTTTTATGTGTATACTTGCTATAGTTGCTATAGTTTTTGTCGCCAATAAAGTCTGCTTGGCGAGATTTGCGCTGGTGAAGCAGATAAGTACCAAAAAGATGTGTCTCATCCACCCATAATATTTAAGTAGCCACTTGCTATCTTCATTGTATGAGACGAGGGAAAAATTCACAAAGTTGACATGCTGTTGCTTGTCTCCAGGTTGAAACAATTGGATGCACTGGAATCAATTAGAAAAAAATTGCAGAAGAAAGTGTAGAAGCTTAAGGACTGTGGTTTTCAGCTTTTCAAATTGTGGGCATCTCTTCTTGCAGTATGCAATGGAGTAATCATTTTATTCACTCCCGCAACAACTTCACCAGGAATACAAGGTTGTCCGGATTGCAGTCCATCATATGTGCATTCAGTTTCTTCAGATTTTTTTTACCAAATCATATACAGCTTTTATGGAAGATGAGTCTCTTCTTAGCTTAAAATTTTTCTGATAAACTCGCACTGCTTCGGCAACATTTTCCCCATTCAGATAAAAAAGCTTTATTGAATCACCTCACAGTTTTCCTGTAAGTATCATCTTGTTAGCACAATTGAACACATTATTGAAGAAAAAAATCTTCCCACATTGCTTTTCACACAGTGTTCTGCGAATGGTGCTTCTACTATCTATTCTTGTGAATTATTCAAGCTGTGTCAATGCCTCTTTGTGTTGTCACTGGTTCTTTACAATGCTTTTGAAAATGTTTTAGGTACTATTCGGTTTAGAGGGCCGTAAAAAATCGCCAAACTATTGTTGATGCCAATGCTGACAAAAATAATTGCAGCAACTCTAATAATTGCGGCAAGAAAGAAAGTATAATAGTAAATAACTATCTAAGATTGATGTTTTAATTTAGATGAAAGGTTAATTTCATATAATACTTTTTTATTATTATAATTTATATGAAAAAGGCTAAACATGACTAAATGGAAGCATAAGAGTAAATAACTGTTTCAGATCAGTATTATAATTTATATAAAAATTGCTAAACATAACTGAATGGATGCCTGCATCGCTATTTCGCTACCGACTTATTGCTGAAGCATAGTTTCATCTCGTTGGTTGTTCAAACGTAATTTTCTATAATGAATGATGCCTTTTCTTTGAAAATATTCTCGGTAAAGTGCAGAATTGCTCACATATTTGTTTGCTGCTTTTTATAAGGGTAAAAACAATTGAATTTTTGTCAATTTTCTTTTATTTTTAAGTGAAAATAGGTCGATGTGTACATAGATAAAGTCAAGGGCGTGCAAAGTGCCATTTTTGTGCAATTCTAGGATTTTTTTTAAAGTGAAAATAGGTCGATGTGCACATGGATACGGAATATGTGCAATTCTTAAAAACGCATCAAGCAGTGGGTGATTCTGCACTTTACCCAAAATTCTATAGCCGACTAACATCATGGGCAATTTCCAAATTGTTAAATCCACAGGATATCAAAAAAGGATTTAAAAATGAAACTAGTATGTCAATGGCATCTTAAGAAATATAGAACTATATAAACTTACGCAGTCTGAAATCAACGTGTATGCTAGATTTGGCTCGCTGTTAAATGGGCACGTTTGCTAGATTTGGCGCTTTTGCGCATACATTTTCGCTGCAATTTTTTTATGGCCCTCAAAACCGAATAGTACCATGTTTTTATAGCAACAATTTTTGTTGCACATGTATGCCATTTATGGTTTTTTTTTAACGTGCTGATCAATTTGTGTTGAAAAAAAGTGAATGTTCCCAATAGAAAATTTCAACTTTTTTCACTGCAACCATAAATGTAAGAGCTCTATTGTTTTAAATCATTACAATCAGCCAATATATTCAAATAGCAATACCTTAAGTTTCATTTCAATTGGTTGAACGGATAAGCTGCAAGGGGTTCATACATCAGGGAAGCATTTTTATGACCACTATGTACATATTGTAAAATTTCAGCACTAATTATAAGAGATACTAGTAGGTTCGCTACAAATGCATATTATGTAAAGTTTTAATTTCAATTCCTAATTATACATAATTAAAACGACATTCCATATCACTAAACTTGATATTTGTATTCAGGGTAAATCTAATAAACACAGCAAAAGGCACATAAATTTTTGAGAAATGAGGTGCATGACAATTCATTAATCCTTACTCAAATGAGTTAATGAGATAGTAATTGCTTTAAAATATTTACTCTTTTAAGCTAAGCAGTATTTAACAGCTTATTACAGTTAAGGAACATATAATTGTTTAAAATAACAACAGATAATTTCACATGATACGAACCTATCTGTTTCGGATTTAGAATTGCTTGAAATTGCTGAAATCGTGAAGTGGATTTCATATTTCGAATAACACATTGTTGAAATCGAATTGATGGCTGAACTATACCTGCAAAATAACATTCAAAATTATCATTTGTTAAATGAGAAAGTAGAAGTACAGTTTATAACATATTTATGCCTCTTACCTTTCCAAGACCTCCATAAAAGAGACATTTTTAAAGTTCAATACTTGCAACTTGAAGTTTACACACCGTATTCCAATATTTCAGTCACACCGCAGCTTTGTTTTTGTTTCAGATTGTTGCCAAATGCTCTCAAATAAATATACGATATTTATGATAATTTCACTAAAATTATATAAACCACCTAGTTTGAACAGTCTTATTTAATAGATAATGACGCATCTTTAAAAGTAGAAAAAGTATGTAGATTAATTTTAATTATCATGATTTAAATTTTTTTATGAAACTTTATTTAAAATTTTGAGCTTAAAATATTACATTTTATTATTATGTGAGTCATTAGACTGTGACTGTACCTACATACTTATTTGTTTTTTTATCGCGTTTCAAGTATTAACAGTACTACTTTAAATTTTCTCTTGTTTCTATTATTTTAAAACCCAGGATTATACTTCTAAGTCTCTGGGATTTGCAATAGGAATCTCATGCAGCAATGTAACCTAATTCCACCCTTTAGTACAATGCTCGCCGTAAAACCCCAATCAGTTCATTTAATGATTGTGTTAGCTGGCTGATAAATTGCTATAGTTTTTGTATATTTAGTTTTATCATGTGGCAGATAAGCTTTATTTTATTTTTAATACCTGCAGGTATGTATACAGTAACTCTTTATCTTTCCTTAAGGAACTATGCATTGTTTAAATAGTGCAGCCCCACCCACTTTTTTAAAAATTTGTATGCATTATGCAAACTGCTTGTGTAACGGAATAAATTTTTTTAAAAATTATTCCGTTACACAAGCAGTTTGCATAATGCATACAAATTTTTAAAAAATTAATGTTATAATTAATTCGTATATAATGTTAATTAATTTGTATTTAATAATTTAATTAATTTGTATATAATGTTATAATTAATTTGTATGGTATATTAATGTAAATTTCAATGTGTGTAACTGAATAATTTATGAAAGCACATGATAAACAATTTGATTTTACGATAATTTCGTTAAATTGATGAATCGCAATAAAGTTTTTTAATTTTATTGCAATGAAAATATAAATATAGTAACTAAGCTGTTAACTCATTTAAAATGAGTTATTTTGTCTTAATTATTTATGTACAAGCCCGTTTCACTTAGGTAATCTTTCAATGAAGCAAACCTTGCATAAGACAGAGTTCTAATGCTCATTGCCATATTCAAATAAATTAATAAACATGAACATTTATTTTTTCCGTATAATGTGCAATATTAAATACATGTTCTTTTTATTAGATTTAGCCTTTGACAACGTATTTTGGCTGCAGGTCAAAATCAGCCAGAATGTTTATATGAAGAAGAGGCTTTGGTTCGGTGGTATTTTGATTTTAGAACTGCCATTCTTGGTGATTAGATAAATTTCATAATAGTTGCTGTACAGTGTAAACATAAAATTATAATTATTGTAAAAGAAAACAGTTGAATGAATTTTATTTTTCTCTTTCTCAATATCTCCCGTGATGCTGAGGCCAAACAGAAGCTGTGCTGTAGAGTCGCTAAACACTGGTAGTTTAGTCTCATGTTGGAATCCCGCGAACGGGCTGACTGTATGAGTATTTTCATGTTTTTTGCCATGTGTAACATGTATACGAGTTGCCAGTTTCCCATTGAAAGTTCTCCATGAAGGCATTCCTCCCTTTAGGCAAATAGCCCTCGAGGCTCTGCCATAATAGCATAAACCAAACCCATGACATTGAACTTGAGAGGTCAATTTTATGAACTGTGTCATATAGTTAGTCATCTTAAGATGAATGCAAGTATTTGAATTTTCGGTAGTTAAGCTGCTCTTCTTAAATTTTATGTGTGAAAAATCTGTAAGTTGAACCGAATGCAGACAAAATGGCAAAGATATTTTTAATTGTGGTTGATCTTTGGATTATGGTAACTTGGCGATTTTTTGGCGAAAGTTTGGCGACCAACTCTGCTACAGCAACCCCCTATTTTTTTTTGCCGCCATTTTGTCTTCACGAAGTAAAGACATGTTTCTTTTCTTTTTATTTACTCAACACTTTTTCCAACAATCTGCTAGCCGAATTACACTTATGCTAGAAATTTTATGGAACAAAACTGCTTAATCATGACAAATATTAACTGCAAAATTGGGAAAAACTGCACAATACCATACTCCTTGCCGCGTTTTTCAAAAACACACATACACAGTAACCATGTACACGTCAACTTGTTTTTACTTAAAAAAACATCCCAGAATTGCACAAAAATGGCATTGCGCACACTCTTGACTTTATCCATCTACACTGCTATTTTCTCATAAATTAAAAAATTTCCAAGAAAATGCAGGAAAATTTTGTGAATCTTTAAACTCGGTAAAAAGCACATATATGAAATTACCTGATCGCGAAAAAGTATATACCCTTTCCAAGGATGAACATTTCCACGTATAATATAAATAAAATATCCAAAACTTTTACCTCTAAATTATCTATTATAAATGTCACCAACGAATTCATAACAAAACATTAAAAATGGTTACAAATACTTAGTGCTAAATATTTAAATTATTTCCATGCACGTTTACTTCCACTCAAACGTATACCAAATTGCTACAAACATATAATTCACAAAATAACTATCATTTAATTAAATTATAATTAAACCATGTACACGTCGACTTATTTTTACTTAAAAAAACATCCCAGAATTGCACAAAAATGGCATTGCGCACACTCTTCACTATATCCATGTACACTGCTTTTTTCTCATAAATTAGAAAAATTTCACGAAAATGCATGAAAATTTTGTGAATCTTAATATTCGGTAAAAAGGACATATATGAAATTACCTGATCGCGAAAAAGTATATACCCTTTCCAAGGATGGACATTTGCACGTATAAAATAAATAAAATATCCAAAAACTTTTACCTCTAAATTATTTATTATAAACATCACCAACGAATTTATAACAAAACATTAAAAATGATTACAAATACTTAGTGTCAAATACTTAAATTCTTTCCATGCACATTTACTTCTACTCAAATGTATTCCAAAATACTACAAACATATAACTCTCAAAATCATGATCATAAAATTATAATATAATTAAATTAAAAAACACTACTTAAAATATAAATAAGTACATACATTAAATTAATAAAAATTAGCTTACAATCCTAATTACTTTAAACTAAATCATTGCTAATAACAATTTTCTAATAAACATATTAATTTATTTACTCCTTACATTTAGAACAATGCATAAAAATAATATCCTCAAATAATTAAAAATACTAGCTTACCTAATCTTCTACAGAATCATGAGTGCATGGCGGATCACAAAATGTCCATTTTCACCAGGTTTCTTGAACCGCCATTCAAACTATCTGTAATATCCTTCCTTTCACACAATCTCATTTCATTCCCACATATTGGACATTCATACTTATCCGCAATTAAGGAATTCTTTTCAATTACACATAAACGCAATAAAAATTTCAGATTTACTTTATGTACGGCCATGGGATCCAAATATTAAACAACACTGTTTCACAGAACATAGAATGAAACTACTGCTATAAAGTACAGCAGATATTTTTACAAATATACCCCCTTTTTTGATTAAAGAACAGTGATTCGTCCATTAATGTCACATGACATATCTCATGATCTCTCATTTCCCTCACACAAAATAATGCGTAATCTGAACTGAGTACTTCTCACATTATTCCCAAAGTCCTAGGTAGTAACCTTTATCGCCTCCAAAACGTCGCCAAACTACCTGTTACCATATTCCAAAGATCAGCCTTATTGGTAGATTATGGATTGATATAATTTATTTTTTAAAATCAAAATGCATGTTTGTTACTGCAATTTCGTAATAAAATAAAAAATATTTTTGATATCCCAGCAGGGCGGTTAGTCTCGAAATGGCATTTTGCATCAAATAAACGGCTGTATCACTTTTCAAATTGCTGCCACCAAATATTTTCGCCTCATATTATAAAAAAATTAAATAATAAAGAAGCTGCATTATGTTTCTCAAATTATAAAGAAATTATACCTAGAGCCATTAAATTTTGAATAACATAGTCCTCCACCCCAATATAGGCACCTGGAAGCCCGAATCTTGAATTTCAAATTTGTTTTATCTCTTTCATATTTTTTAAACTTTAACCAAATTTTTATTAAGAAATTCAAAGATTTCAAACCAAACAGTGGCAGCACACTGTGCAGATTATCTTCCGTTGAAATTCTAAAGATGTACTGTTTTTAAATATTTTTAGTCCAAATGCTATCGAGACATGTATGTATGTGTAAATGAAAAAAAATGCCGTTTTGGGCATTATATAAAATCTGAAAACTTTTGAATTTATTATTTAGTTTTGGTTAAATTTTTTCATTCATTGAGGCCTCGTTTCATATTTGTTTTGCAATTTACTTTTACACATTATACTTTTTTTTGGAGCTCAAGTGGGTTACTTGAAACAATGAAATGGATCCCGGTTTGCCAAAGCCTGGTCTAAGCTGTTGACCATTTCCTATACAAGGCAAGCATCTCTTGAGCACAGTTTCAACCTGTATTATTCGAATTTGGTTTGAGAAATAGAACTTATGATCCAAGGCTGACCAGTTGGTTCTGGTACTGGAAATTTTAAAGAAAAGCATTGAAGAGACTGAACGGTTGATCTTTACAATATGGTAACTGGTAGTTTGGCGACATTTTGAAGGCGATAAAGGTTACTACCTGGGACTTTGGTAATAATGTGAGCAGTACTCAGTTCCGATTACGCATTATTTTGTGTGAGGGAAATGAGAGATCATGGGATATGTCATGTGATATTAATGGATGAATTATGGTTCTTTAATCGGAAAAGGGGGGAAATCGGGAAAAAATCTGGAAATTTTGTATTTTGGCTTTATTCTGTGTTGTGTGAAACAGTGTTCGTGAATAGTTGGATCCCATGGCCGTAACTAAAGTAAATTCGAAATGGGTATTTATGTATGTGTGCTCATTTATATTTTAAGTAGTGTTTTTGAATTTAATTATATTTTAATTAAATGATAGTTATTTTGTGAATTTTATGTTTGTAGGAATTTGGTATACGTTTTAGTTGAAGTAAACGTGCATGGAAATAATTTAAATATCTGACACTAAGTATTTG